TCCATTATGATAGTAAAACATTCGTCATTTTCCATCATACAGGTTCGAGTCTATACATTTTCGAGGAAGAAATATGGTTTCAACAGTCCCAGTTTGACTTTCTTAAACAGTTCTATGATATTGCCTCTTCTGTTCTGTGTCGTGGTTCACCCACTGCAGAACGCACTCGTACACAACCTCCTCTGTCTATTTATGGTTCTACAAAAATTTTCTTGAATTTGGCCGCTTTATCAGTCTTTCTTTGACGTAGTCGGTAGGACTTTTTGGGCGGGGGATTAACCCGTTGCAAGGCCACTACCTACACAAAGGAAAACACAGACATAGAGCAGAGGCATACAGACATCCATACCTCAAGTTGGTTTCGAACCCACGACCCCGGTGTTTGAACGGGGGGTACCTTAGACCGCGCGGCTACTCTGATCGGTACATAACCTCCTCACTCTTCACGATTAGTCCCTCTGCTCCTATCCTAGCTTGCAGCTCCTCCGGCGACAATTTCGTCGCTTTGCTCTGCTACTTGCACGAAGTTGTGCATCAGGAAGCAGCGCGCGCGCGTCCCTTTCAACGCTGGAGCAGAAGTAGTGCCTTACGAAGCGCATGATGTCAGGAGTAAACGTGCTCCGGAGGAAACCACAGCAGAGTTCAAGGACGTCCAATACACTTAAATAATCAAAAGACACCAGTAGCTGCCGTACGTTCTCCTGTCTGATGTCCACGAACCCCAGATAAGAGTATTCCAGTATCAAACTCATGGTCTCTGAGATCGCTTCGGGCAGGAAGAAGTCTGTCTCCTCTTCCGATGATATATTGTGGCGAAAAGGATCATGAAGTATGAACAACACGCTGAAAGAATCACTCTGTTAACTGGAAAAATACCGTCTTCCAAGTGAAGCACCGAGTCACACAAGCTCTGTGGCCTGTAGTCCGCAAGTAAACTATACCGACCGAACCATCGCCGCTTATCGGCGAAGTTAGCGCCAACTTTATCGGATAGAAGTTGCCACGTGGTTAGCGTAAAGGATCCCCACGGCCGATAATCTCGGTTTTCTAGACCGGAGCCGCTATTTCCTTGAAACAGCTCCTCAGTTATCCTCACGAGGCTGAGTAGACCCCGTTCTAGACCCACTATTTCTCAGAAAAACTGGAAGCGTCGAGAATCGAACCCGAACCCGTGGATCTGTAGCCAAGAACTCTGACCACTAGACCACAGAGGCGGTCACCGAGTCACATAGTAGTAGTAAATGTCGGGGATGCAGAATCACATTGTTCGGTGGGCAATCATCGGCGTTTAGGAAGAACCTGATGCCTTCGCCTTTCGACCAGGAGGAAAAGTCGACCTTGGAACTCAGTGGTACGAGTACTGGGAGGAGGAGGACGTGACGGAACGGGCCTGATTGGTCCTCCTCCTCCTCCAAATATAAATACTCATATTTTCCATGCTTTGATTACTCTTCTGCCCTGAAGATGGAATCAGCAATTTCCTCCGAAACGTCGATGACGATTTACCAGGCTTCACGTTAAACCGTGAATGGCTGTCTAAGTGTTTCATTCTATGGATTAACAGTGCAAAGCACACCAAACATTGAGGTAGCTGACAGTCGTAACGTTCTAGACCTGCAATCGGGAGGCGCTTGGTTTGAATCTCAGATAAGATGCTGCTTATTCTGAGATCTTTTTGCGGAATACCATTTCAGTTGTTCATAATCGCTTCTTTTCAGAAACTTTTGACGTCATCAGCCAACATTCATCGCTCCATTCGACATTATATAGACCAGATACATACAGTGAAGGCTTAAGTGTGTGCTACAGTGAACCGCGGAGTGCGCGAATTAACATTAGCGCTACATTTACTTGGAGTTACGAGTTTGTATATAAGTGTGCTCCGGTAACGGTACCCGAGCGGTCTAAAGCATGCACTGTCTTCACTAGCTCGGAAGCCGGGATCGTGGGTTCGAATCCCACTCAGGGCATGGATGTTTGTGTGCGTTTTCCTGTGTTTGTGTACAGGTAGAGGCCTTGCGAGGAGCTGATCACCCGCCCAAGGAGTCCTACCGAATGTGTAAGATCTAGAAAAACCGAAGTGAACGGAGTTCACGGAGGTAGGCCTAGGCCCACTGGGGCTGTAGTGCCAAGGGGGAGAAAAAAAATAATAAGTGTGCAATAAATCCGATTATCAATCCAAACCCCGTCTATATACATTCAATCACGCGACAATATCATGTTAACCAATGTCAGTGTCTGGCAGATAGTATAACCACATTCACTTGATGACAGCAGTATAACCATAGAAAGGTTTTATTTTCTGTGGTCTCTCTTACGAGACTGAGTATCTCCCGACTATATAGCGTCGAATGAAACGATGTTTGTTCTGTTATAAATAAAAGAGGATTTGGAACGAAACAGTCATGATACAATATATTTATTACCCTGAAACTTGTCTGGAGGGACACAGGAAAGTAAAGAGAAAACCTTTACCATGGTATCCGGTCTCCTGACTGGGATTCAAATCGAGCGCCTTCCGAACAGAAGTCTAGAGCATCACCGCTTCAGAAACCTATTAGATGAAACATTTTTTTAAATTCGCTTAGTGGGGGGTGGAATACAAATGGGTCCACTCGGCACTGCGGCCACTGATTGGCCTATTGTAGCCTGCCCCAGGTGACTATGATGATGGAGAATTTGGTGGAATGAAGATTGGCAGGGGAAAGAGAAGTACTCGGAGGAAACCTGCCCCAGCGCCACATTGTCCACCACAAATCCCATTTGTCCAGACCCGGGCTCGAAGCCGGGCCGCCGCGGTGGGAAGCCAGCGACTAACCGCTTGAGCTATGGCGCGGCCACTTCGATGAAACATGCTGTGGAGGCAGTCCAGTTAAACTGTCGGTATTGTATGTACACACTAACGAAATGCAGCTAGGAAACTGGAAGCAAACTGAAAAAAAAAGGTTAAATTATCCTTGTAACAGGGCGGGAAAGTCTATAGGGTTTCAAGAATTCAAGGTTCCCACATTTTATAGAAAATCGGCTGACAGATGGTAGTGAGGTTGTCAGCCTTACTCACCGGCCGCCCTTTACCTCCTAGGAAGATTCCTGGTACTCATTTCGGTTACAGGCTGAGTCGACCCCAGGCTTATAATGCGGCTGGAAAGATTGGGTAAATTAAAAAAAAAACAATACTCTCATCGGGAACCGAACCTGCGACCTTCTGGTTTATAGCACAGTGCCTCAACGCTACCGCGTACCCCAATCAAATTGATACACAACATTAGTTACTGGATGAAACCTGAGTTTATTATTAAAATACCTCAATATATATAGGCCTATATCCGTTCGCCTACATAAATTTTGTCTCGCCTCTGGTCGCTCACTCTGCCATCTCTTGTCTTTCCTCGAAGCTATGAGACATGCCTGCGCTATTGGCATGTCGAAGCTTGTTCCCGTATTCTTGAGGCGTCCAGCCATCTGGACCTCTGCCCTGGCACGTCTGGTCTCTTCATTGCAGCCCAACATTTGCAAGCAAAGATGTCCTAAGTATTCAGCTTCCACGGTACGAATATTATAATTAAAAAACTAACACTACAATTTTCTGAGCCATAAAAGGAAAACGCAACATTTCGGAATTCTTTTTTGTTATAATCAAATCAACCCCTGTTACAGAAGGAAGTGTGTATAAAACAAATATCTTCAGATATGATCTATACTAATATGAGTGATTTTGAGGGATATGATCACTTCTTCACCTAAATAGATACCTTTCAGTTTTAATAAAGGCCTTTCGTGACTGCCTCTCTGACTCTTTTCATCACATATTATTTGTGGACGTCTTGTGTCGGGTATAAAGAGTTACTGGACCCGAAATTTAAGGACAGAGAATTCGATACGAAAAATTTTGGAAGACGAATGTGACACTGTGACATAATATGAAGATGATCGACTGTTAGGTGTCTGTTCGTCACGTGGGACAAAGATTGTGGCCTAGAAGACTAGTGAAATATCACAAATTGTGGAAAATATTGTCATGATTAATCAAAAAACAAAAAAATCCGTGGCATGTAGTCCGAAAACGAACGTTACCGACCGAGCAACCTCCGCTTGTCGGCGAAGTTAGTGCTAACTTTAGCGGATAGAGAGTGTTACGTGGTCAGCGCAACGGATCCCCACTGCCGTTAATCTAAGTTTTATAGACCGCAGCTGCTCTTTCCTTGAAATAGCTTCTTAATTATCCTCACGAGACTTAGTGGACCCCGTTCCAGACCCACTACCTTTCAGAAAATGTGGTAGCCCCGGGAATCGAACCTGGGACCTCAGGATCTGTAGGCAGGAACTCTGACCACTAGACCACAGAAGCTGTCTGTCACGATTAATCAGTAAGTTTAAACAGCACAAGCAAGTGATCATAAGTAAATCACCAACACGGATAATGTGAAAAAAAATTGCAAAATTAAGAATAAGTGAATTTTCTTCAATTTACAGTATACTTGTTTTTCGAACATTGTCTTTCCACTTTTACGTACATACCTGACTGATCTAGTGGTCAACGTTCCTGGCTACAAATCCATAGCCCCGGGTTCGATTCCCGGAGCTACCACATTTTTTCGGAGAAGTAGTGTGTCTGGAACGGGGTCCACCCAGCCTCGTGAGGATAACTGAGGAACTATTTGAAGGAAATATCGGCTCCGGTCTTGAAAACCGAAATTAACGGCCGTGGGGATTCGTTGCACTGACCACGCGATATCCTTTAGCCTCAAAAGTTGGCACCGAACTTCGCCGACAAGCGGCGATCGCTCGGTCGGTATGGCTCGCTTGCGGACTGAAATCACCGAGTACTATGTCCACAAATTATGATTTCGGTCTTGAAGCGTTAAGATTTCTTTTAAAATTCTGCCACTGTCAGTTATTTCAGAATTATCCCAGCATCTACGATGACAGCAGACAAAGTGTTGCATGCAGCAACACAGAAAGAGCCTGCGCAAAGAAGCTACTTATATACGTGTACTTACCTTGAGTGGTGACGTGGTCCCTGTTCAGGTTACGGTCGTCCGAGGCCCCGAGGGAAGGCTTACTGCTATCTGATGCCCCTCGGTCCCATTTTATAGACCTGGAATTAATAATTGCACAGTTCGTTAAACAAGCAACGCTCCTCGAGTGAATAAAATAAAACGTCTTATGAACCTTAGATAACATTAAGTAGACTGTAAATTATACAACGCAAACTTATAGGCGGGTCCGGCAGAAGAAAAACAAATGAAATACTAACTTGAATACCCTTTAATCTGCATACCAGAGATAACATCGGCATAAGGAAACTGAGTAGCTAAGAGTAGCTAGTGTCATGGAAGAGTTCTGGAAATTTAAATATATACTCCTATATATTGTCACGTGTATGAGTGACTAAAGACAGTGGGTTGGACTGGTAATTGGATTTATTGATCACTTACAAATGCTGACTACAAGTAATTATAACGCTCTCGCTAATTCATGCACTCGTCTTCTCACTACAGCACATACTAAATCTCCTCAGTTGGTTTTCACTAGCCGTTTTCTGGTAATGGATCCTAACAATATCCTCCCCTTACGTACTTCCCGGCTGGAGAAAGTCTCATAACTAACTCATTACTTAAACTTGCCGCTTATAATCCCTTGGTAAGAACCGCGTAGAAAACACCGGTTCTCATTGTTGTAGCTCAATTGTTGCCATGGGAACATGTTTGTTTGCAAAGCCGTTACTCAGCAACGGCTACCGTACATTTGCTTATTCTACGGTCGTTGCCTAGCAGTGGGTGTTATTTATAGTCATTACTTTGCAACGGGACTACATGCTACAACATATACAGATTTATTCCTATGAACTGGAAGCAGGTTAGAGTGACGTTTATCTCAAAACCCGGGAAATCTGACTACGCTGAGGCTAAGGATTATCGTCCTATCAGCCAGTCGTCTTTTCTTTTGAAGACAATGGAGAAATTAGTGCATAGGCATATTAGGGAAGGTGTACTGAAGGAGCATCCTCTGCACCGAAACCAACATGCTTACCCATCTCGTAAATCCACCGAAACTGCACTTCATAATTTGGTTAACGCGCACAGAAAGTGCTACTGAATGCGAAGAAATTGCCCTAGGAACATCCCTTGATATAGAGGGCGATTCTGACAGAACAACACAGGCTGCTGAAAGTCATTGTATTCAGCCTATCATCTGCAGATGGATCTGTTCTCTGCTAGAAAGCAGAAATATAACAACTGCATTGACGGGATAAAACTTGAGGGTGTTCACGGCTAGGGGATGCCCACGGTGAGGTGCGCTCTTGTCTCTGCTGTGGAACCTGGTCATGAACGAGCTTTTCTGGGAGCTTAATGACAATGATTATTACATAGTATTATGTGCAGATGACGTTGCACACCTAATTAATGGAAAATATCCTGGGACTGTGTCAGAGGTCTTACAAACAGCTCTATGCACAGTCCAGCAGCGGTGCAATATGACAAATTTGTCCATCAATCCCAACAACGCGGTGATAATACCTTTTGCTAGGAGGAGAGATATTAGGGGACCTAAGGAACCAACCTTTTTAAATAATATAATTCAGCTATCCAATAAGATCAGCATTGTTGACTATTATTAGACAAGGGCTGATATGGATAAAACAGCGGGTTAAGTTAACCAACAAGGCCTACAGGGCCTTTTGAACCTGCAGAAGCACGTTTGGGAAAATTCGGTGTCTGAAACCAAAAGTAATATACTGGATGTACGCCGTGGTGGTAAGACCCGCAGTGAAGTAGCCTACACTACCACTGCGTGGTGGCCTATGATTACATTCAAAACAAGCAAGGTTGAATTTAGCAAACTGCAAAGGATGACCTGCCTGAGAATTACTGAAGCAATGAAAGCAGCTCCAAGAGCTGCAATTGAGGTCCTCATTGGACTCCCCCCACTGCACTTGCAGCTGAAGGATAAGGTCAGAGCAGGTATTTATAGACTCTACTGCAGTGATCAATTGAAACCAACGATTTAAGGTTTTGAACATGCACACGTGACTCAGGGCATGAAAAAGAACCCATCCCACAGATGACGACCGACAGAATGATAGCGAGACATGTCAGAGTGCCTGGCAGGGGGGACTGGAAAGATGAATTTCAACCCGATTGGAAGGGAGAACTTATCTAGTACGCAGATGACGTAATGGTAATGGCACACAATGGAAGCTTGGCATCAGCCTTGGGCAATACACCACAGCATTCCCGGAAGAAGTGCATGTGCAGTCCTAGATAGGAACTACAGAAACAGAAACGTCTACTCCTATACTCTATCAGATAATCAAGCTGCAATTAAGGTACTTGACATTTACCAGATCAACTGAAAATTGGTTTGGGATTGCCATCAGTTCCTAGTGCAACTGGCCAAACACAACAGAGTTCAAATGATATGGGTGCTGGGTTATAAGGTAAGAAAATATCTGACGAACTGACAAAATTGGGATCCCAATGTCCTTTCATAGGACCTGAAATAGCTTGCGGCATCTCAGAAGGAGTTGCCAAAAAGCTTTCAGGGACTGGACAAAGGGAGACGATAAGAACACTGGGAGTCTTTAACAGGACGCAAACAGGGAAAGAGACCCATACAAGGATCTTTTTCCAGAAAAACCAAGGAACCCTTAAAATTAAACCGAAATCAGTCACGGTGGGCACTGCCACCTGAAAGGACACATTTTCAAAATTAGATTGACAGTCCTATTGTGGAAGGTGCCGCTCATCCTATGAGAGTGTGACGCCATAGCTTACTTAAAATTTTGTTACCTAGGCCATCATTTTAAGGAACCAGACGACTATTTTGACGCCCCTGTAAACATAATCCTAAACTTCATTCTAAAGGTAGGATTAAAATCTAAAGGTTTAGCTCAAGCGGTTAGTCGCTGGCTTCCCACCGCGGCGGCCCGGGTTCGATCCCAGGTCTGGTCACGTGGGATTTGGTGTGGAGAAAGTGGCGCTGGGGCAGGTTTTCTCCGAGTATTTCGGTTTCCCCTGCCAATCTTCATTCTACCAATTGCTCCACAATCACCCTCACCTATCATCTGGGGCTGCTACAATATGCCAGAAGTGGCCGCAGTACAAGGGACTTAGTCCCACCCCACTAGCAATAATAAAAAAAAAGGTCTAAAAGTTTGTGACGATGGTACAGTAGTACAAATATTATGTTTTTGGACATTATCCATCGTCTTGTCTTTATCTAAAAACCGTCATATTTATTTTTCAAAACACAACGTTTCGGAGAACGGATTCTGTCTTCGTCTTCAGGTAAAACCTACTCAGTTGAGCTATACCCTCTCTCCGGAGATAGGGTCTAGCTCTATCGAGTGGGCCATACTGAGTAGGTTTTTACCTGAAGACGGAGACAGAATCGTCTCCGAAACGTTCTGTTTTGGAATATAAGCAGGACGGTTTTTAGATAAAGACAAGAAGTAGACAAGAAGATGGTTAATGTCCAAAAACATAATACTTTTACTAGGGGTAGGATTGTTGAAGGGTTAAAATAGAAGAACATGCACAACAGAACAATGGAGGTCGCGGTGCAAGGGCCAGCAGTTAGGCTCACCCCTTAAATACACTACAATAGAAGGTTCGAGACAGAATGAGCTGAATTTCGATAGGATGCAAATGTGGTATAGTAATAAATCTTGGAGACTTCGACAGAATTGGGAACAAGTTTAAAGTTCATCTTGTCAAAAGGGCTATGTTCCAAGGAGATAGTTGATTTGATCTAGATTCGAACTGGTAAGAGGGAAAGAGATAACCTTAAAGATACGGTCTTTGTGATAACAAATATTCCAAGGAAAATACAGAATCAGGATCGCAAACAATAAGGTGACTGAACAAGCAGTGTTAGAGCAGTGCCAAGTCTGCGAAGAACTGAACGCTGATTGGTACAGTACAAAAGAAACATGTCAAGTTTTCTAAGGCAGGAAATAAGGACAACGAGAAGGCTGACTGGTGACGTCATAATCCCGTCTCTTATAGAACTGATACGTGAAGTGAGGAGCAAACAGAATGAACGCAGCCATAGGAAGTAAATTAATGGAGAAAATGGTATGAAGAAAAGAAACGTTAGAATAATATTATCTTACCGACGGAACCATTGTAATTCATTATATATATATATATGAGTGTTGTTGGATTGAAGGCTGCGGTATAATTGTGACTGCACTTGGTCTATACTCTTACTGCCGAGCAGGTTAATGTAGTTGTACGAGTAACGCTATGGACTTATATCTGGAAGATGCTGGCCTGAATTTTGGCCGGAATACGGATGTTATTAGATTTTCATAGCTCTTCACAGTCACTTCTAGGATATTTCAAGGTACTGCCATGATTTTGTTGCACTGTGCTACAAGCCGGAAGATCGCGGGTTACAGTCCCGATGATGTGGATTTTTCAATTGACCTGCTCCTTCCAGCCGCACTATGACTCTGGGGTTGACTCAGCCTCTAACAGGAATGAGTACTAGGAACTTACCTGGGGGGTAAATGGTGGCTGGCGAGTAAGGCTGACAACCTTACCGTCACCTGTGAACCGAATGCCTAGATAATGTGGGAACCTCAATGTCTCACAACCCTATGGGCCTCCATGGCCTGTTACAGGGATAGGTCCCTTACTTATCATTTAAAATAAGTAGATATTCTTGCCTTTCGTATAAGAATTCAAGCATTATGAATCACGTCGTAAACTTTTAGTTATTAGCCTACTTTTCTTATTTTGGAGAAAAGTAAAAGTGGGCATATGAGATCACCTTGTTGTCTTTGTGTCTGTAGGCAGTTTATTCAAAAAATGTCTAATTAAACAGACTAAACACACGGTACTGTTAAAGTGCTGCGATGATCAGGGGTGTACAAATGTAAAATATAATGAAAATAAGTTATATTTTCAAGTGAATAGAATTTAATATCTCTGTTTTTCCAGTTAAAATCTTGCATTTATTGTAGATATAAATTTATTCCAGAGAATTCTAATTTGATATAGGTACTTTGTATTAAGAAAGACAATAAAGTCTTTTTGTTTTGAAATTACTTAATAATAGATAGAGCAGTGTTTGTATTAAAATTCATTTTCATTGTAGTACTTAGTTGGATACATGACCTATACAGTTTTACCAAATGTCGAATATTCTTTGAAATTAACGTTATAGACCTCATTGAGGCAGACTTCATGTCGGGAATCTATCCTCGTAAGACGAGAAGCATTTTGGAAAAAAATATCACATAAATTATGAGCTTGAACTATAGAGAATATTACAATAAAAACAATTTATTTGATATAGCAATTAATGCAACAAGTTGCTGCATTTCTTGCTGTGGATGCTTGCCTCACTGCATAGTTTGTTCCATTGTTAGGGTCATTATAATAATAAGTAATGTCGGGCTACTTGATGACGACTGTTACAGTGAGTCGAGAGATGGAGTGAGGCTAGAGTCCACAGAAATTAAGAATACATTTTGTCGTATTGTTAAGCTTAAAAATAAAGTATTTATAAGCTGCGAAATGCCTGTTCCTCAATTTATTTAATGATGCTTTTTAATAGTGTGGTTTATGCAGTATGTGAAGATAGTCTGAGAATAATCTAATGGGTAGGCATGGAAAGAAATCATGACGTTCTAATTTTAAGTACCATTCCCGGTACATGCTTGAAGGTACTGATGGAAACCAGAAGATTTTCTTTCCAAATAGTAGGTCTCGTAGCAGAGAACTAAACCAGGGACCTCCTGCATGTGAAGCAAGTGTCCGAACTACCACGTAGCAACGTTGCTTGTTTCCATCTTTTTGTGTCTGACGATTCTCGTGTGACGTCTACTATATTTGATTTGAGTAGAACTCAGTTTTGTCAGTTACGGACCAAGTAAAACCCGCCCGACGTGTACCACATATGAAATTTCATCAAAATATAACACCAGGGATTTAAAAGGGGAACATGAAGTCCAATAGTTCTGTTGAAACATTTCCTTCGATACTGTGTTTATTTAACAAACTATTTGTAACAATATTTACAACTGTGCATTATAATTCCCGCATTTATCCTCACATCCTTCAATACTGTATGCAGTAAATGAATATAAGGGCACAGAAGGATCAGAAACTGAAAGAAAGCTTTTGGAATATATTTTCGCTCCGAATTCCAATGTATTTTAAATTTTTTTACTATCTTTTAATTGAAATGTTGAATAATCATAAGCACGAGAAACACACAGTGAGGAGCTTCACAATTTTCATTGTAGATAAAAGAAGATCTTAAGATTTTCTTATTAAGAAGGATGAGATAGAGGACAGTGGCTACAGGATTGCAACTGAAGATTATGCTTACACAGGTTTAGTCCGTAAATTTAGAGGGTAGAATTCACTTGAAATATCTAGGCATAGATATAAGGATAGTTTTAAAAGAGATCTTAAAAAGACGATATTTACTGTGGATTCAGTTGCAGTTGCAGTCCGGTATCAGGGTGATCAGATCAAGGCAATTAGAACTTCGGGTTTCATTAAAGGCAGGATTTCTTTCACTAACAAAAATACTGTGTGGTTCCCAAGGACTCTGCTCGCGGTATTAGGTGGTTCAATAAGCATGCAGGATATATCGATTCCTTATTTTCTAAGTTCCCGACGAGGTGGATTTTTTCAATTGACCTAATTCTTCCAACCGCACTATGTCCCTGGAGTTGATTCAACCTCTAACAGAAAAAGAGTATCAGGAATCTTCCTGAGGGTAAAGAGCGGCTGGCGCGTAAGGTTGACAACCTTACCGCCATCTGTGAGCTGATTGTATAAAGAAAATGTGGGAGCCTTGATGTCTCACGACCCTAGGGGCTATCGCTTTTTTATTTCTTATTAAGATTTCGGTAATATAGATACCATAAAAAACACAAAATATTGTAATTGATGCTAATAAGGAGGTTGGTCTAAAAGTAGACACAGAGTAAACTAAGAATATATTGCTATCTCGTCACCAAAATGCAGGGCCGAATCAGGACCTAAAGATAGGTAACAGATGTTTTGAAAATGCGGCAGAGTTCAGATATTTATGGAGGACTATAAGAGATCAAAGGTGACGAGCTGATCACTCGCCCAAGGAGTCCTACCGTATGTGTAAGATCTAGTGAACCGAAGTGAAACGGAGAGTTTCATGGAGGTGGGCCTAGGCCCAAATTGGGGCTGTAGCGCCATAGTAAAAAAAAATAACAAATCAAAACCTGATTGAGGAGGAAATTAAGAGGAAATTAAACTTGGGTAATGCTTGCTACCATTCAGTCCAGAACATTTTGTCTTCTCGTCTGTTGTCCAAAAACATAAAAACTAGAATATACAAAACTATAATTTTGCCTGTGATTCTGTATGGATGTGAAACGTGGTCTTTGACACTAAGGGAGAAACATAGACTGAGGGTGTTTCAGAACAGGTGCTGAGGAGAATATTTGGACCGAAGAGAGATGTAGTGCGAGGAGGTTGGAGAAAATTCCATAATGAGGAGCTTCATAACTTGTACTCTTCTCCAATTATAATAATGATCAAGTAAAGGATGATGAGATGGGCAGGACACGTAGCACGAATGGTGAGAAGAGGAATGCAAATAGGATATTGGTGGGAAAGCCAGAAGGAAGGAGACCAGTGGGAAGACCAAGACGTAGGTGGGTGGATAATATTAGAATGGAATGGTATGGATTGGATTGATCTGGCTAAGGATAGGGACCAGTGGAAGGCTCTTGTGAACACGATAATGAGCATTCTGGTTCCATAAAATGCTGGGAAATTCTTGAGTAGTTGCACAATTGGCAGCTTCTCAAGAAGTGCTCAGCTCCATAAGTGGGTGAGTGATTAAGGTTTGGGAAGATAACTGTGGACTTCAAGAGACCATATGGCTCTTCTCCATATAAATTTCATATTTTCGGATTAGCAAACAAAATTACGGATGTATAACGGATTTCCTGTCGTGTTACTTAAAACGCTTTTTCTCTCAATGATTAATATAAAAATTTCTGGTCTGGGGGGGGTTTGAAACCCTTCCAAATGGTAGATACTCTCTTCCCCACGTGAATCATTTCTGAGGGATGCCATCTTACAATTCAACTCCACCACACTTCACTTCATTACTCGTATCTCATACTTACAGCAATGCACTTACTTTTCCAGAAAGAAAATGAAAGAGTTTCTGAGCTACACACGCGCACAGAATCCTTACTTCCTTCTCACAAGAAGTCCTTGCAGATACACTTGCACTCAAAAATCTACATGGTGGCGGGGCGGCCACGACCTGTGGTGTACAACCGAGGTTTAAGAGACCCACTTTGGACTTAAGATGAGTCCCACAGAAATGCAACAGAGGTGACGATGACAGGGAGAGCCCTCCTCACCACAGGCGGGGAAAGACGTGAAATGCAGGGGAAGTGAAGGTCCGTCGAAATTTTTTGGCACGTTGAACCGTTAGTGTCCTTCGTGTATAAGAGGCGTATGTACTCATATCCTTCTTCGAAAATTAATCGTCTCTTCCATACGTACTAGATTTCAAATCACATTATGTATGCTATGTTGTTAATGTAAAATAAAAATATAGAATATAATGGCATTAAAATAAGAATATACATATCAAACACGAGAAAATCTGCTTGCTGAATTCAGACTTAAGCCGCTTTTTTGTTTGGTGCACGCTTCCTGGCTTGTGAGCCAAGAGCCCACGCGAGTTCCTATGGATCACAATATGACGCACACAGAGTAGGTTCAAAAATAAATTCAATCTGTCTAATGTGAAAATTTATGCAAATGAGTGAAGATACGAGTATGTCAGGTTTTGAAGGATTGGCGTGTGCTCAGTTTCCAAATGCGTTCCTTCAGAAACAAATTGTATCTCTTCATATTTCATTGAATAAGGAGAATTAAGTAATTCCATGGAGGACAGATCGTTCTGAGAGGAGTTCTGAGTGTCTTAGCTTATCATTCTGTATGAATTTCTCATCTTTCTCCTACGTGTTACTTGTTCTGCCCATATGATCGGTCTTGATTTCATGATTATGATAATGTTGGGTGAAGAGTCCAAATTCTCATTGGCAGGAAAATATTTCCTCCACCCCTCTCTTCCTTCCCCCTTCATTGGTCCAAATATTTATTCTCAAACGCCCTAGCTCAGTGTTTTCTTAGACAGAGAGCTACATTTCACAACAATATAAATCACACAGCAAAATCATGATTTCTTCTTAAACAATACCAGATTTAAAATTGCTTAAGTATAACTTGTAGGTTTGAAGAGGGAGGACCTGATTGTGGTTTGAGTGCTAGTTTCAGTGTTGAGATCCGTTGCTAGGAAACGACTAGTAAAGACACAGAATCCTAGTGCGTGTGCAAGGGCGAAATGGAAAGTGTGTAAATCAGAGATAGCGCTGTAATTAAACGTGATTAAGGGAGGTTGTAACCAAGCTGCTAATAAATCCAATAATCCGAAACAGAACCCGCCATTCTCGTCACGTGTACCACTCCACACGTGACAATATATTGTTATTCATCACTACGAGCGTGCAGTCTGTCAGAACAACTGAAAGTGTAAAAGACACATGCACATTTCCCAGCCTCCCCCCTCCATGCGTCATGTGTGTTTGTTGTCACTTCTTCTTTTTTAATTTGTAAAATCGATTTATGTCATACAGGATGTACAGTGAGCCAGTATGAACCAAAGACGAAAAATAAAATTCTCACGAGCTTTATTCTAAAGAATACTATTTTCTGGACTGTGACGCCACAATTAACCGACGTTTCGTAAGGATGTACTGGGCTTCATTGACCCTGAAGAAGGAGAAAGTTTATTACTCCAAAACACCGGTAAACTTCTACCAAACTACGAACTATCACATCCAAGCAAACAGTACTCTGCATATTCAACCCCGTGAGAACCTCACGTTTCACAGGTTTTTACCTTAGTCCATTAAATTAGATTGACACCCAGAAGCTGATTTAGATATTAAATGTACGAAGTGAAAAGTAAAGTAAGACCGTGAAGGCCCATAGGGTTGTGAGACGTTGAGGGTCCCACATTATCTAGACAATCGGCTCAAAGATGGCGGTAAGGTTGTCAGCCTTACGCGCCGGCCGCGCTTTACTCCCCAGGAAAATTATTAATTAATTCCTGGTACTCATTTCTGTTAGAGGCTGAGTCGACCTCAGGGCCATAGTGCGGCTGGAAGGATTAGGTCAATTGAAAAAATCCGACGACCTCATCGGGACTTGAACCCGGGACTTTCCGGCTTGTAGCATAGCTCAACCATCTATACTACCGCGTCCCCCCCCCCAGATATTAAATGTACGAAGTGAAAAAACAGGAATGTCCTCTGTATTGTATGTTTACTTTATATATTTCATATACAGAAATCGTGAGAAAAGTTCTAAGACAGGAACTGTGTTACGTTCATATGTGCTAACATATCTCTCAGCATTGTCAATGGGAGGACGCCCGAGGAACATTATGTCCTACTGGCGGATCTTGCTATTAAAGCGTACTGCAATCCGTAAACAAATACAATAGCAACGGTTTGTGCCTATAAATAGTTACACGAGGATAAAGAACCAAGAAAAGAGCAGGGTATCGAATCTGAGACAGTAAAATGTAGTCATGAGTCCCGCGGGACTCGGACCTGAGAATGGCTGCACTGGTGAAGGTCAGCTGCAATTTTAAACGACAGACCCATCTTCTCGACAGAGAGGTCGCTACGTAAGGACTATAGTCGCAAGTGTTCAATTGAAAACAATAAATTGCTGATCGTGAGTCTCGAGGGGCTTGGCGTCAACGAACTGACTGGTACTGAATCGCCAATTGTAAAGTAAATCTGACTCTGAGGAACCAAGAAGATGATTATCCTCGGCATAATTCAAATCCTGACTTGACGAAACGTGCAGTGGAAACTAGTATACGTCCTTCCGGATATGTCGTTCAGACTCATTTGAAACTACTCAGCATTATAAGCCCTCAACCCAGTGGTTATGAAGAGTTCTGTCTTCCGGGGCATAACGCTGTGCAGTCCGTTGAAATTCAACCGACATTCCGAGGAACAAGTACCTTTATTTTGATGGTCGAAGAATAAGCCGAGCAAGAAAGCAGAGCCAGGCTACACAGCGTTATACCCCAGAAGATAGAGCTCTACTTATAAACAGTTTGGGATTCGATTCTCGGACAGGGCAAGAAGTTTTATGTCTTCAACACAGCGTTCAGACCGGCTCAGGGATCCAGTAAGCCTCCGATGGAACAGGTACCGGGGGCTCTTTCTCCAGGAGTAAATCGGCCGGAACATGAAACTAACTACTCATCTCCATCCACTGCCGGGGTCATGAATAAGTGTCGTTATACCCTTAACCCTACAGTCGTATTCATGGTGTGGCCCCTCGACAGACCCTAACTCAATAACTTTTAGTCTGAGGGCTTTCTTGAAGGCACGCGCTGTTGTTTGGTACACACCTTGTATTACTACCGTAAGTTTAAAATAAGTTAAGTTGTTATGTTAGTAACTAAATAACTCCAAGTAGTTGAATCTTTCTTGCGAAGCCGCCAGTAGCTCAGCCGCCCAGAAATTTCCCCGAAATTTCATGGAACTCTTAAGGTTCATTACTGTGTTCACAAGAGCCCTCCACTGATCCTTGTCCAGAGCCGGATCAATCCAATCCATATCACCCCACATTATTCTTCTAAGATTCATTTTATTATTATTCATTCACCTTCGTCTAGCCTTTCTAACGATCCGTTTCTTTCTAGCTTTCCCATCATAATTCTATATGCATTCCTTTTCGCCCATGCGTGCTGCATAGTCCGTCCGTCTCATCTTCCTTAACTTGATCTTTCTAATTATATTTGGCGAAGGTTATGAAGCTCCTCTCTGTGCAGTTTTCTTCAGCCCCTTTCCATTCCATTGCCTTTCGGTCCAAACATTCTCCTCAGCATCCTGTTCTCAAATGCCTTTTCCCTTAATGTATACATTTATAATTACTATGTCGGAGGCCCAAAATCATTCCTTGCAATTCTGAAATGATGTTCCTCAATATACGGAACTAATTTTAGTAAGAGGTTTGAAGTTCCCACTCTGATGAAAGTGGGGTCATGTAATGTGGTTAATATTTACTATCTATCAGACCACACGGCGTCACATACTTCATCCATCTTCACGTTGGACAGGTTATGTTCCTCCAAAACTTTGGTAACCTTCTACTAGACTAGTTGGCGTCATATCCCAGAATATAGAAATCTTAAAATTCTCATGTTATGTAGTAGGAGCCATTCTGAACGTTTTGGCGAAGATAATAATCGAAACGCCTCAGTCGGGAATCGATCTGCAGTTGCGATTACGTTTACATACTCTTTTTAGGTTTCCAAGACCTGAATTTCACATCGCCCGAGTCATTTTCCGTAACAATACGATAATTAAAGTAAATAGTTTATTTAAGAGTTTTTTTCTTTGGGATATAACGCCGTGTAGTCTGTTGAAAGTCGACCGACGTTTCGAAGGGACATATCACCTCCATCTTCAGGACCGAAGACTAAGCCAAGCAAGAAACCAGAGTGAGCTCTGTTTGCCATCTGCTTTCACTCTGGTTACTTGCTTGATTTATTCTTCGAAACTAAATATAAAGGAGAGATAATCCTACGAAACGTCTGTTGACTTTCAACGGAGTACAAGGCATAATATCCCAAAAGACAGGACTCTCCATGACCATCTCAGTAAGAACCTCAATTCCCATAAATTGTTTTTTTTTCTGTGCTGCACTAGGGCAGTCAGAGGTAAGGTATGTCCCTGTGCTTTTCTGTGTATGCCTCTGATAAGGACGTTTGCAATAACTTACCGCTTTAACTAAGTTTTATGAGGACGACAAGCCACTGAGAACCAATCCACCTTTAACGTTTCAATTCCCTCTCCCTGCCATCAATAATACAATCAATAATCAATAAATATGGTGTTCACGCAAATTTCTGATATAGAGGCAACACCAACAAGATTTAACGTAAGACTGATATTTTGTGTTACGATAGGTCTTCGAAAAGTCTGTAAATTTATTAAAGACTTTATCCGTACTCATAGAATGTGAAATATTAATATGGCGGAATACGAAATCTATATCCATTTTATAGTGATGAACGTCCGAGCAAGTTGGTTTATATTCGGGTGATGATCGAATTGGAACTCGGCCGAAACACAGAATATCCCGACTGAAGCATTTAGTGTTTCTCTCTACAGGAAAATATGGGGGTACGTCAAATCAGACAACGGGCACTTGCCTTCTATATCTTATCAAATCAGTTATTTACTCATTGCCCTACAATTAGACGCCTTTTGTTTTTCCTTGGCACTACAGCCCCAGTGGGCCTAGGCCTACCTCCATGAAC